TTTATATATAGTTTTATATAGTTTTTATATATATAGGACAACTAGTCCATTCAGTGTTCTCAAACAGGAATTAAAACATGTAAAAATCTGTTCAAGGCATTTCCAGTTAACATGAATGGATCAAGCTGGGCAGGGCAACAGGGATTCCTCGCAGCGCTTCCCATGCCCAGCTGCTCTTCACGCTGCAGCTCTAAATAAAGAATTCTTCCTCTTTTGTCTTCATTTTAAGGAACATCAGAAGTTGCAGCGGCGGAAATTCATGGTAAAAAGGAAGCCACCATCTCCAAAAGCTCCTAGCCCAGAACCGGAGCCAGAACCGGAACCAGAGGCAGAAGTGATAGAGGCGGAAGCGGAGCCAGATGTGCCACCCCCACTCCCCCTCCCCCAGGATCCAGATCCTGAGTTGGAGGCACCTGTGCCCACCCCTCCCCCAGAATCTAAACAGGAGCAGTTTGCTGGCAGCCTGGTGGATCACGAATACACCGCTCGACCTAATGTTTTTGGAATGGCCCAGGTGAACCGTGGCTCCACGCCCATGGCCCCAGGTGTCTTCTTGTCCCAGCGGCGTCCCTCAGCTGGCTCACCAGGTCCCCAGGCAGCACAGGGTAAGCTTATATATATGGGCTTTGATGCTGATTAGGGAAGAGCTCTTGCTGTCTGAGATCTGCTACAAGAACAGTTTTTTCCAGAGGAGGAGAGGAATTAGAATTGGTGAAAGAGTTCTGGCTTGGCCTGGTCAGTCATAAGTATGTGACTGCTTGCACAGTCACTTCTCCTGGTCAACCAAATACCGAACAAACTTAGCAGTATCATCTATTATCAGCCGAGCTGCATATCAAAGAAGGTCACCAATTCAAATCCTGCCTCTGCCGTGAACTCACCTTGGGTATCCCTCTTGGAATGATACTAGTGTATTTTGTAGCACTTTTGAAAGTGCCACTAATTATATAGCATTGTGGACACTCAGGACTGCCTGATGAGAATAAAGTATATGAGTAAGGAAACTGATTATTGGAGATGGAGGCAGGTATGAAACACTGGCTCCTGGCAAGGTCCTGACTCATTCATCCAGGATCACCTGGGCATAACCTCACACAGATGGAGTTCATGGTTCCCCATTGAGAAATGCCTTTGAATAGTCTGGTGACCCCTGTGAGAGAAGATGAGATTCTTGCTCCCACATGGGAAGCAAGCAAGTAAAAGAAAAATGGTGCCATTCTTAATGTTCTCCTTCGATTCATCCTGTAATTTCATTCTCCATGTCAGCAGGGGCTTTTCTCGGGAGGAAAATAAACTGGTTTTGTGACTTGAGTAAATTAGAATTATAACTCATCTATTTTCCCTTCCCTTCAGGAAAACGCCCCAAGAAGGGCTTAGCGACAGCCAAGCAGCGACTCGGACGCATCCTGAAGATCCATCGCAATGGCAAGCTACTCCTCTGAGTGCATCCCCACGCCAGCTCCAGGCTTCATGCCCAGCTTTTGGGCAGCAGAAGTTGGGTGAGGCACAGAGACCCACTTGGAGGCACCGCCCGGTGTCTTTGGAGGGCCGATGGGACCTTGGGTGTGGACAAGGCCTGCGCTACTCTACCTCTCCTTCCCTCACACGGATCAGAGCCAAGTCTGAGCTGCCCGCGCTGCTGCTGGAAGCTTTGAACTCGATCGGCAGCACCTGAACACAGAGGCGAACCACGCTGGTTTCCCTGAAAAGACAGACAACGTAGGAGGCGGGGGGTTTGTTGTGCCCACTGATTCTCCATCCCTACCTCGACCCGCTGCACTTCCTTTTTTGCTCTGGGGCTGATTCTTCTATCAGATGCTCCCCTCCCTCTGCCAAGTCACACATTACAGACATCGGCTTATCTTTTCCTCCTAGCAGCTCCAAACGCCCTTTGTGTCTTTTGCTGCTGTGGGCAGACTCTGGCTTGCCAAGGAGTGTTTCTTTTCTCATTATTTTTTTAAAATGTTTCTCCCAGCAGAAAGTTGTTGCTTTTACGCAAGCAGGTGGCTCTTCTTCCTTTGCAGTCTTCTAGAGCAGTGTTTCTCAGCCTCAGCGACTTTGAGATGGGTGGACTTCAACTCCCAGAATTCCCCAGCCAGCACCATTTCTGGCTGGGGAATTCTGGGCGTTGATGTTCACCCATCTTAAAGTTGCTCGGCTTGAGTAACGTTGTTCAGGAGGGACCCTTCCAAAGCTCTGCAAACCCTTTAAGCAAAAGGGAAGGACGGGCAGGAGAGGAACCACTTGTTTTACAAAGAGAAGCAGATTCTTCCCTTTGTTTTTCGGCAGTCAGGGCTGTCTGGATGGAGCGTAGGTAGGGGTTGGAAATAATCCCCCCTCCACTGGATGGGTCTTGAAACTTCTGGTCAGCTGCCAATAGGAAGTCATTTGCCCATCAGCCTTACGTTATCCATCCAAAATAGAAGATTGGGAGCTTCACAAGATACCTGTGTCCCTGTAGCGCTGCAGAACGCGAGAGGGATGGGCGATCCATGATGATAATTTTGCAACATATACAAGAAGGCAGGTAAGGTAGAAGGCTAGGCTGCCTCCTCCCTGGTTTGCATATCTGTACACGTGAAGAGAATTTTGTTGGTTTGGGTGTTTGTATCTTAAACTGGAGAAAATCCCAGCTATCTCCCATCTGCAGTTGGAAGTTGTACCGGCCAGCACCGCTTCTGTCAGATGAGGCTGCCAACCAGGAGATTCCATGTTGCAGAGGGCGGAAAGTTAGCAGATTTTCCCCCCATGATGTGAAGTTTTCCAGTAGGCTTCACAGCTGTTCCGGTTGCAGATCTCTCATTTTGTTAATTTCCAGGCCTGTTTTTTATATTCTTGGCATAAAGCAGTCTGTCCTCCCTTCTCCTTCTCCTTCTCCTTCTCCTTCTCCTTGTCCCCCTTCTACGGCGGCAGGGAGGGCGTCATGCCCCCTAAGCAAGACTTAAAAGATGTTTCTACCCAGCAGCACGGCTCAGTTAATACAGCTGTGTGTCATATTTTTACACCAGACTCCAGCAAGCTTTGTGTAAATGTTTGAATTCTATTTTTTAGGCCTCTCTCTAGAAATGTGTGTTTAAGGGGGGGAAAATTATATATATACACACACATATATATATAATTTTTTCCAGGGGTTAGAATAAAAGAAAACCTTCAGTTTATTGTGGCATATGCCTGAGGTATATTTTTCTGATTCTGTTCCTCTCGGAACAGATGCCTTCACTGGGATCCGGGAGAACTCACCCACAAAATTTATGTTCTGGAGAGTTTGATATCAAAGTACAGACATAGCAGCTTCTTGCACAAGAGTTACTACATGAGTTCTAGCACCATGACCAAGACATACATTCTACATCTAGTTTTTAAGGGTGGGGGCATTTATTATGTGCAGCTTTTTGTTTTAAAAGGGGCTGTGCTGAAAGGATTCACGATTGGGGGAATATTTTCAGGAGTGCTATCCAAACCTTTCTTTTTTGGCAAGTTTTTGACAGTTGTGGAATAAAAGGTTATCTTGATGCTCTAAATTGCTTTATCATCAAATAACCAAATGGGATGTTAGCCCATTTAATTATTTTATATTGGCATTCCCTGATATTCTCCATGAAGTCTGTCTCACACTGATCTCGTGTGGAATTTTTCCCTGCAAAGTGCCACGGCTACCTTTTATTCAGAATTGGCATTATTCGTGATCTGTTGGTGTTTGGATGCACAAAATTAATATCAGAAAGATATTTCTCAAGCAAAACTGAAAGACTCATTCTCCCAGCTAAGGGTCACTGCCTTTTCCTTTCCTTTAATTAGTCTCCTATATTTGCTTTAGCTGCAGGTTTACAATAATATCTCGGCAGCAATTTTCGTTTTTATTGTATGACTTGTAAAATACACATTAACACACGAAAAGAGAGTCTGATCCTGCGATAATTACAGGACAATAAATCTTGGGTGCTGCAGGGCCTCAGGAGTCTGTGGGTGGGGGAATGGCTCTTGGCTGCAGTGCTAAGGGGCTTTCTTACTGAAGATAAGCATAACAGGTAAAAGAAATGTATATAATGCTGGAGCATCATGAAGAGCTCCATGCAACCTTCTGCAGGGAAGAAACAATAGAGAGACGAAGGCTTTTACCTGTCTGCTCTTGGCTGTCATGTAAAATTCTTGCTGTATGGATTACATTTGGAGGGCTCCGTGAGGAAATAGGGTTAGTGGAGGGAGAATCCCCAGCTCATGTTAAGTCAGATTATTGGCATGATTTTCCTGATTCTGCCACTCTGCTTTGCACACACGAAAACTTATTCGCTTCCACTAGGGCCTTTCAGTGCAAAAACATTGATGGGTGTAGTAGTAACTTTTATTCCCTTCTTTTTTAACAAAAATGTCCTGTTGAAGTTTCAGTCTCTTTCCCTGAGTAGGACCCTGGGTGAGCAACTTGAGTTGCCTTGTCAATGGGAGACTTCTGGGAGGAGATTCCCCATGAATTGTGAAAGAATTCCAAGTCACGGAAATGAACAGGGGGCAGCGAGCCCAGCTGCTCTCCTGCCCGTTTCTACTAGTTTCCCAGATGCAGAAATTTTGACCGCGTGGGGTCTGAATACATCCACAAATGAAACAGTAGGGGCCACTCTGAAATGGCAAGAAGCTGCCCTTCCCCACCCCATCCCACTCCATCCCCAGCTTTGCCTCTATCCAACTGGGCAAGCTGGTAATTTTTCTCTCTGGGTGGTGGAAGTATTTTGAATAGGCTGCTCCTCCCAGACAGAGGACAGAAGCAGGCCAGCTCATATTTCCAACAGGTCAGAGGCAAGGAAGGTGCAGTAAGAGGCCCCCAGCAACTCTTCCACATCCTTGCGTTTCACCAGCCAGCACTCAGCTTCGTGAGCCCTCTGGACTGAATCCTTCAGCACCTTGGTGACTTCAGTGACCAGCACTTTGTTTGTGTCCTTTTGCATCCAGGCAGCTTGGTCCCCCTGAGATGGGTCTGGAGAAAGGCTGAGGTTGCTGTTCTGGAACTGGCCTGGGAAAGAGCAAATTGGCATTGTAATAACTCTGTGTGTGTGTGTCCACACATACATGCGTACCTGCCTTCCTGCCGGGTTGGAGTGCTGCTTCAGTGACTATGAGCGATGGGATTCCTACTTCAACAGTGTGTTCGTATCTAATTAAGGCCATTGTATAATGGGCCCTCC